CCTTGCTTTCCAGCCCTAGAACTGTGTGGCCTTGCCCTCTCCCTGCCAAGCTATGGAATACAGGGCTCCTTAGCATGTAGACTGGTAGACAGATGTAGTTGAGTACATCTCCCTATCTCTTCTCTTGCCCCATAGGTTCGCAAATGATACAGTAAGAGTCAACACTACAGTTCTAGTAGCATATTCTTCAGTAATATTCTTCAAATTTTCAGATATTGTAGCTTTGGGGAGGAAGTGACCTAAACAAAACTGGGCTTGTATTATACCCTCAGATCATTGATCCAAAGATGCCCCGAGAAGGTATGTTCCACCATGGGGTTCCCATCCCTGTACCACCACTGGAGGTTCTAAAACTTGGGGAACAGATGACGCAGGAAGCCAGAGAGCATCTCTACCTCGTTCTCTTCTTTGACAACAAACGAACCTGGTAAGGAAAGATGGGTGCATTTGGTGTGACTTAAAGCCACAGATGAAAATACAGCCATCTGTGATGTGGGGGCAGACTGCCAAGAGACACAACAGATCAGGTTATTATCAGGTTGTTAAGTGTGTGTGTTAGGGGCGGGGCACACTTAGAATAGCTCTAAGCAAAAGGGTGTATTGGTTCTGGGCCTGATGGGCTGAGTGGGCAGTAAGTAGCTGGGAAACAGCTGTAACTAGAAACCAAAGGACCATCAGTGACAGACAAATTTAGGGTGGCTGTCTGCCCACATTCAGATGGCTTCTAGACTTTATTTTTCCCACCTTTCCCTCTTTAGTAACAGGATGAGGAAAAGCAAGCATAAACATTCAGGCTTTCAGTCCCTCTTCAAAGTTTTATTAATCGCCTACAGATGATAATCTGTAGTCTCTTGAAGTGGCTGGGACAGGATACCCGTTTGAGGCATTTTGCACCCATAAAATGCCCTGTGGTTTCGCTGTAGAATTAATATGCCTTCCCAGTGAGAAGTCACCCCTCATACTTAAGAAATTAATAAAGGAAAGTCTTTAATAATAGCATGCAACTAACTAGTCCTGGCTAATATACAAAAGGGACCCAAACTCAAACAGACTCAAACAAAAAATATTACCAGTGTATATAGGCCTTAGGCTTCTACATTCCACATACACTGTCATCCTTAAATCTCTTTCAGGTCATGGCCCCAGGTTACACTTTAAAAAATTGAAACAGAGACAGGAGACTGCAAGTCTGGCCACTTGGGCAAATAGGAACAAAGAAATTGCCAGAATTACTTAAGTATGCCAGGGCTGTTCTTTTCTGAAGAGTTGTTACCTAGGGTCATCTTGCTCACTTGGTAGGATTATGCTTTTCCTGAGAAGTGACCCACTTAATGGCAGACCAGGATGCCATTAATGATGGTATCTTGCACTGCCACCCTGAGATGCCCCTTAGAAGCATGTTCTTTGATATGGGGATGGGCCTGGTTGCTGGTTTTAAGTCAGTGCCACCTCCTTTAGTTCTGGGAATGGAGATTAATTGGATGTCAATCTTAGTGAGCAAATGTTAACAGAAACATTTTCTCTGAAACCCTTTACTCCCATTATGGTACAAAGTTTTCTTTCTTACAGTTTCTAACCTAGTTAGTCCACTACTTATCTTCCTATCATACTGGAGGCAGAACTCCTTTAGATAACTTCTACTTTATGTAATCATGCCTTTTAGTAACACCTTTATAACATCAATTTTATCACCTCAAGTTTGTCCTGTATCAGTTATCCTCCCCCTCCACCACCACAGTATAACTCTTGACTGGGCTATTCTAAATACACTATACAGTCCCTGGAGAGCAGGGGTGCTGAGAGTCATGCATTTCTAAATGAATGGAGTGCAGAAGGGCTAGTATTTTTCCCACTGAAATCCATACCTCATCTCATCTTTACCTTGTCTGACAGGCAGTGGCTGCCCAGGACTAAACTCGTCCCTCTGGGTGTGAACCAGGATCTAGACAAAGAGAAGATGCTGGAGGGCCGCAAGTCCAACATCCGCAAGTCAGTGCAGATTGCCTACCACAGGGCTCTGCAGCACCGCAGCAAGGTGCAGGGTGAGCAGAGCAGTGAGACCAGCGATAGTGACTGATAACTGTCAGAGCCCAGTAGTGCTCTGTGACCGCTCTCCTTCCCTTTGCTCACTGTCCTGGAGTGGTGCCGCCCTCTGCACTGATTAATTCCTGGTCATGGGGCCAGTCTCAGGGGAAGTTGGGTAGGGGAGATCCCTCCTGCCCTGAGTGCAGCTGGACTGTACAGAACACTCCAAGGGCCCATGGCCACTCAGTGCAAGGAGAGGAGAGGTCCCTCTCCTTGGTCAAAAAGAGCTCAAGACCTCATGGCATTGTAGGGCAGGGTGGTGGGCCATAGTTAAATACTGCATAAAACAGGCCATACCACCCCTACCTGCGCGTGCCAGGGGAATCCATAACTGCCTAGAGGCCTGAGGCCCTTGCAGGTGGTAAGGTAAGCCAGCATCTTCCCAGCCTAGCAGTGGGATTGATGTCTTGTCTAGCCTGGAAGAGGGGCACTAGGTGCCTCCTTCCCTGCTGTTGTAAATGCTGTAATTATTGGAGAATTTAAATTATTCTCATTTGTAATTGCGTTTCCGGGTCGCGCCAGAGTCATTTGGTACTAAAAAAGAAAAAGAGGAAAAAAAAAAAAAAAAAAAAAGGAAAAGAAAAAGAAAAAAAAAGATTGGAGCTTGTCTCTACTTCCTTTCTTTTTCCCATAGAATCTCCCCTACCTTTCAAACTGGTTTGTATTTATTTCAAAGGAAGAAATATATTGATTCTTAGAAAATAAAGTCTATTTAGAATTCTTTCTTCTTGCCTTCTACTAGGGCAGAGGGATTCAGAGGGAGAGGTCTTTGCCTCATGGATGACTTGTACTTTGTAACCAAGGGATTGCTGGCTACTGTGCATGGTAATCGTAAGACATACTAGTGAACTGGGTATTGTGGCACATTCTGTAATACCTGGACTTAGGGTGCTGAGGCCAGGCAGAATGATGTAACAAGAACCTATCTTTTAAAAGTTTCAATAGGAAAGCTAAGAGCTCACATTTCCATGCACTGCCCTATGTGCCTGAAATACATAAAAATACATAAACTGTCTCTAATTCCTGTAGTAACTATGGGTAGGCTAATAGGCTGATTATCTCCACAGTGACAGGCCATCCTAAGTACCTTTAGGTACACCATTATGTAATCTTTACAGGAAATATGGGGTGGGTTAATAGCTTGGTTATCTCAGGTGCTGGGGTTTAGAAAAATTAACCTGCCAAAGTTCCTACAACTAGAAATGCAGAGCTAGCATTTAAACTTGGGTCCATTTGTCTGGAAAGGTGGCTTTTCAACTACCATGCTAAAACCAGATAGAGTCCACTGCTGAGTTCCTTTGTCCTTCCAAATGTTTCCAGTCCTTTGTTGGGACCATAGTTTAAGTGCTTCTAACACTACAGTTGAGATGTTAATTGGGAACAAAGTAGGGTTGTACAAGACTGTTGATAGACATCCAACCTTGGCCTTTTTTCTAATTCAACCACTTGTTAGAATACCTTCTAAGTGCCAAACACGTGTAAGGTGACCTTTAGATGAGGTAACCACAGTAAGAAATGGCTGCCCAAGAATGGCTACTGAAGAATGAAACTGAGACAAAAGACTCCATTTGTTTTTTTAGTGGTGGTTTTTTGTTTTGTTTTGTTTTCCTGAGACCGGGTTTCTCTGTGTGGCCTTGGCTGTCCTGGACTCGCTTTGTAGACCAGGCTGGCCTCGAGCTCACAAAGATCCACTTGTCTCTGCCTCTGCAAGCGCTGGGATTACAGGTGTGCACCACCGTACGCAGCAAGACCCCATTTCTTTGAGGTTGATGCTTAATATGCTCTAGCAGGTGTGCTATGCCTTGCCAAGGGACACAAAAATAAATCAGCAGCAGGCCTTGTCCTTGAATTTGTAGTCCAATAATTTAGGTACAACCCCCAAATCTCTACTAAATGGAAAATGACCTAGTGTGTCAGGCTAATGTCCAAGATCATGTCTCCTAGCCCCCAACATTTCTTTTTAGTCTTCGAGAAAATTATAAATGATATAGTCATTTCTGGATCAAGGTGGCTGGTGCTGGTATTGGTCCGTTAGGCTGCCTGGGAGCTACACATTGGTACTTGGACTCAGTAAACCTCCCCCCCCCCCCCCCCAAAAAAAAAAAAAAAAAGCCCATACACAGGCCCTAGGCGGTGGTGGGCAAAGATAAGGTATACTGAAGGAACGTGCTCAGACTGGAGAGGGTAGCTGCAGCCGCAGGCTATGTCTGAGGCAGGCAAACCTGAGACTGGCCTCTGAAGCCTGGGTGGAAGCCCGAGATGGCGCATTCGGGGCCGCATGGCAGGAGGTGGAGGGGACAGCGCTGAAAAAAGATCCTCTGGGATTCACTCACAGTTGCCTCAGAAGAGGCTAGGAGGGGAAAGGCTTGGGCAAGTAAGGATGAGGTTCTTTTGGTTTGTTTCTTGAGACAGGGTCTCGCCATGTAGCCCAGCCTACTTAAGCCTCCAACGTGCCTCCCGCCTCTGCCTACCGAGTGCTGGGACGACAGGCGTATATCACCACGCCCCGCAAGGATATGGCTCCACTGAGGGCCAGCCCGAGAAGTCGCATGCCCTGAGATCACACCGAAAGCCCTGCGATGGGATGGCAGAGCCGAGCCGCGGACGGCCAATCGCCAGCTGCGAGGCCGGCACGCCAACCGCTACGGCGCCTCAGGCAGAACCGCCCACTCCGCCACACCCGAGTTCTCATTGGTGCCTCTCACTTTCTCATCGGATTGGCTACCTCTAGGATCAGATAAGCGGGAGCTAGGATGTACTTCCGGTGACCGTAAACTGGGACCCGGAAGACCCTCACTGGCGCGCCTTTCCAAAACTGCGACAGCCACCCAGAAGGCGTAGGAGGGGGTGCGTGACGGGAGGCTCTGGGGGCGGGGCCACGTCCGGAGGAAGAGGAGGGGCCTGTTTCACAAGAAAGCGGAGTGGGCAGTGTAGGGCTGTGGTAGCCTGCGGGAGGCTGTGCTACAGGGAGAGGGAGACTTAAACAGGAACTCGCTTTACACCAAACCCAGAGTCTAGCACACGTAGTCACTTGGGAGTGAGGCTTTAGGACGCGGAAATGTCGGGTTCTGAGTGCACCGGGACGTGATGGGCCGGAGACTGCTTATCCGAATGTTACTCCGCTCCTGTCTGCCTGGCAGAATGAGGCATCGCACCCTAACTTCCAGCCCGGCCCTCTGGGCCTCTCTTCCCTGTCCACGCTCTGAGCTGCGTCTGGACCTGGTTTTAGCTTCTGGACAGTCCTTCCGGTGAGTGACTGCCCTTGGGAGGGTCCTTTCCTAGGACTCTTACTCCTCAGTGCTGCCCACGGGATACAAAGAATGTTGAGCGTGGGACTGTTGGGAGTGATGGATGAGAGTATTCTTTGGAGTCTAAGCACCGGTGGCTAGCCTGTTACCTACTTTATGAAGTAGAGGTGATGAGTGTGCAGGCTTATGAGGACCATGCAGTAAAATTATCAGTGGGAAGGCTGAAGGATGTAGCCCAGTGAAAAGAGTGCTTGGTTTTCATGCACAGGGCTCTAGGTTCAATTCCCAGTACCACCTTTCTTTTTAAGATGAAAAACGTACCACTTTTATTTATATAACTAATAAGTCAGTTTATGGGTGGGACATTTGTAAGTCAGGAGGGACCTTAAAGATTGCAAAACGAGTAATGAGTGCTAGGGCTGTCTACTGGAGTACTCAGGTGGAGGGAGCAAAGCCCCGCACACTGGAGTGGAGTGCTGGCAGATCAAGTATGGACACTGACCCAGAACGAGGAGCAGCTGTATTGCACTGTGTACCGAGGAGACAAGGGCCAGGAGGGCAGGCCCACCCTAGAGGAGCTGGAAGCCTTACACAAGTACTTTCAGCTGGATGTCAGCCTGGCTCAGCTGTATAGCCATTGGGCTTCTGTGGACTCCCACTTCCAAAAAATGGCCCAGAAATTCCAAGGTGAGTACAAAGGGCAGGAATGGTGGCTACTGTACACTTGTTAAGTTACATTTCTGTGACTCGGTTTGCCCTCTGTAAAATGCAGATACAGGGCCAGTGAGATGGCCCAGCATATCAGCTTCATATACATGATAATAACAATAACAGATAAAATTCACTCATTAAAGTGCTTAGACTAGAATTTAGCATATTGCCTTTCTTATTATAGTGATGATGGTCACCGAAATGAGGTGATAATCCTGACTGTGTGTCCTGGAACAGGTGACCTCATTCATTCTGTCATTATATACAAAATCGCATTTCCTCTTTGACTGATGAAGGAATAAAACAGACACAAAGCTCTGTTCATGCGGGCTCACATTATGGCTTTTTTTTTTCTTCTCAGTAGAATGGGATGGTCACTCAGAACTCATAAAGATGTACAGATGTACAGGAGAGGTCTGGTGGTGATTTCTCTACATGAGCAGTCCTTTATTCTTCTGGGTCTCCCTGGAGCCTCAATATCTGACCTAGAGGGATTCAAGGAAGCCAATCCTAAAACAGGCGTGTCTCCTACCTCCTGCCCTCTGCTTTCTAGGTGTGAGACTGCTGAGACAAGACCCCACCGAATGCCTTTTTTCTTTCATCTGTTCTTCCAACAACAACATTGCTCGCATCACTGGCATGGTGGAAAGGCTCTGCCAGGCATTTGGACCTCGACTCATTCAGCTTGATGATGTCACTTACCATGGCTTCCCAAGCCTTCAGGCCCTGGCTGGTGAGTAGGTGGATCCCCTTCAGTATTTGGACAGGAAGACCTGTTCAGTTCTACTAAGCTCCTACCTCCAGTCTTTCCACCATCCCAAACACTGTTTCTGTCCAGAACCACCATACTTGGTCTCATCAGTCCTGGTTACGGCTCATATTCAGATTTCATCCCTGAAATATCAGCACCTCACTAGTTGGCTATTTGCCTGTATAATCAGTACCTCGTTAGAGAACCAGCTGTACACAGTGGTCAGTAGTTTAGGGTTACAGGTATATGATCTGAGACAGACTGCCTGGATCTGAATCCTAGCTCTGACACATATGTTATTTAGCATCTGTATGCTTCAGTTCTGAATCTGTGAGATGGAAAATAATGTTACATATCCTGTCAGAATCATGAGGACTAGGGGGCTGGAGAGATGACTCAGTGGTTAAGAGCACTGACTGCTCTTCCAGGGGACCTAAGTTCAATCCCCAGCACCCACGTGGCAGCTCACAACTATCTGTAACTCCTGTTTCAGGGGATCCAACAGCCTCACCTAGACATGTATGTAGCCAGACACCAATGTACATAAAATAAAATGAAATAAATTTGAGAAAAAAAAAAAAGAATCATGAGGATTGAATAAAGGGAAACACATCCTACAAACAGCACAGTGGAATACAGGAAGTAAGTGGAAATTTTAAGCTGCTGTCGCTTATGTGAATACAACTCACTTGACCTGTGAGGCAAGTATGTTGGTTAGCAGAACCGAGCTAGATGAAGTGTTTAGGGACTGAATAATAAGGAACCTGCCTTAGGTTCATCTCAAATGGGTTGTTTTTTGGTGCTAAGAAAGGTCTTGAGTCTCTGCCCTTGGTTTAATAATCATAAGTCTTCAAGGAATTAATTTACCTTTCTAAACTTGACCTAACTTTTTTTATAGAATGGGAATATCAGTTTCTATTTAGAAGGCTTTGGGGGTGAATAAGTTGATTGCGAGGCATTGAAAAGGAATGATTTAAAGGTCCTTTCCTGCACCTGGGTGAAAGAGCCTATCTCTAAGCCAGGTGTGGTGGTGCATGCCTTTAATCTTAGCACTCAGGGAGGCAGAGGCAGTCGCTGTAAGTTTGAGGCCAGCCTGGTCTACAAAAGTGAGTCCAGGACAGCCAAAGCTACCCAGAGAAACCCTGTATTGAAAAAACAAAACAAAAGAAAGGAAAAAAAGATCCTATCTCCACCATGGCCTTTCTTTGTGTGGGGTTGATGGGTGAGTAGGTAGCTAGTGTGTGTGTGTGTGTGTGTGTGTGTGTGTGTGTGTGTGTGTGTGTGTACATTATGTGCACATTATGTGCGCGTGTGCACACATGCATGTGTTTGTGGCAGTCAGAGGTCAGTGTCAGGTGTTTTCCTCAGTAGCTTTTGGGGTTTTGTTTCTGTAGCTTTTTAATTAACTCTATGTGTGTGAGTGTTTTGCCTGAATGTGTTTGTGTGCATAATGTGCACATGTCTGGCGCCCACAGAGATCAGTAGAGGGTGTCAGACCCCCTAGAACTGGAGTTTCAGGTGGTTGTGAGGCACCATGTAGATGCTGAGAACTGAAGCCTGCTGTTCTGCAAGGGCATCAGGTGCTCTGAACTGCCTAACTGTCTCTCCAGCCCACTTAGCTCCTTGTAAGCCCTTACTTTCTCTTTCTGTAAAATGTGTAACACAATGGTGCTATCATTAGGATCCTTAAGAAAAGCAAACATAATGTCCTTTGCCAGTCAGTGTGTGGCACACAGCCCTTGCTGTTACTATCATTTATTCTGTGAGTGTGTGTGAGTGCAAGTATACACACTGGAAGATCAGAAAAGGACTTTTCAGAAGTCAGTCTCTCATGTTTTTGAGGCAAAGTCTCTCTTGTTTCTGTCACTCAGTTTTATATACAAGCTAGCTGGCCTATGAGCTGCCAGCAGATTCTTCTATCTCTGCCTCCTATCTCACCTTAGGAATGCTGGGATTACAGATATGAACCTTGACCAGGTACAGTGGCATATTACTATAATCCCAGCTCTCTGGGAGGCAGAGACAGGCAGATCTCTGTTCTAGGCCAGCCTGATCTACAAAGTGAGTCCAGGACAGCCCAGGCTACACAGAGAAATCCTGTCTCAAAAACAAACAATCAAAAAAAACATGTAAACCTCTTCATCTGGCTTTTTACGTGGTTCTGAAGTTTGGACTCAAGTGATCAGGCTTATGGAACAAGTGCATTTACCTGCTGAGCCATCTCCAGCTAGCTTTTTGGGCCATGGGTATAAGCATGTCTTGAATAAAGCTCAAGTGGAGGATCCTCCAGAGAAGGGGGTCTCAGCCCCTTCTTCAGAGCCCAACACATAGGAAATGCTAAGAGAACATTTATGGGGGCAGAACTCAGGCCTTAACTGTTTTCCTATTCACACCCAAGTGTCCACTGACTCCTACAGGACAGTAAATAGGGCAGAAGTGCCTAGAAAAGCATTGGGGTGGGAGACCTGAGGACAGGAACAAACTGAGAGTATCTGACCCTTCCATCCCTGTCCACTCTCCCACAGGTCCAGAAGTAGAGGCTCACCTCAGGAAGTTGGGCCTGGGGTACCGTGCCCGCTATGTATATGCCAGTGCCAAAGCCATCCTCGAAGAGCAAGGTGGCCTGGCTTGGCTGCAGCAACTTCGAGTGGCCTCTTATGAAGAGGCCCACAAGGCTCTCTGCACCCTGCCCGGGGTGGGCTCCAAGGTGAGGCCCTGGAGAGGTAGGACATGCCCTCTTCATCCACAAAGAGAGCAGGAGAGGTGGAAACAAGGCACACCTGAGAATTCAGGCGAGGCCTAGCTTCTGGAGGAAGCACAGGTAGTAGCAAGTATTTTTGTCAGAGACAAGCAAAATGCAGAGAGTATGAAAGAGGCTGCCCTTTGGATAAGTTTTTAGAAAAGTCCATGTGTCGGTGTATTTGTGTACACTACTGTTTGTATGCAGAGATTTCCAGAGGGAAGAACAGGAAAGTTAACACTGGTTACCTCTGGGAAGACAAATGGAAAGAGATTTCTGTTTTACATTTTTTTTTCTTTTCTTTTCTTAAAATTACCTGTGCTTACAGGATGTTTTGTTGATGTAAATAGCTGTATCTAGCGAAAATTAGAATTTATAACTTATGTTTATTTTTATACTCCTCTGTGGCTTAAAATGAAAATCAGGAGCTAGATAGATGATCCAGAGGTTAAGAGAACTTGTTTTTCCTTCAGAGAACCTGAGTTTGATTACTAGCACCCATGTCAGATGGCTTACAACAACCACCTCTAACTTCAGGTCCAAGGAATCTGATGCCCTTTTCTAGTCTCCTTGGGCATCTGCCCAAACACATGGCATATGCATACACACACAGTCATAAAAATAAATAAATCTTTAAAAAAAAAAAAAAGATGAATTTTTGGTGCTTGCCACCAAGCCTGACAACCTGAGTTCAATTTCTGAGACCTACATGGTGAAAGAAAACTGGCTTCCATACTTGGTCTCAGACCTCCCTTAGACCCTAGCCCTATGAACAGATAAGTACATGTAATTTTTTTTAAAACTTTTGTTTGAGCCAGGTGGTGGCAGTGCAATCCTTAATCCCAACACTGGGGAGGCAGACAGGTGGACCTCTTGAGTTCAAAACTTAACTGGTCTACGGAGTGAGTTCTAGGACAGCCAAAGCTACACAGAGAAACCCTGTCTTGAAAAACCTCTGTTGGCAGAGGTGAGAACATTGGATTTTCAAGACAGGGTTTCTCTGTGTAACCTTAGCTTTCCTGGAACTTGCTCTGTAGACCAGGCTACCCTCGAACTCACAGATCTGTCTGCCTCTGCCTCCTGAGAGCTGGTAATAAAGGCATATGCCACTACCACCTGGCTCAATTTTAAAAATTTTAAGTGGATTTTTTTTAAATTTATTTCCTATGTATGTGTATTTTATCCGCATGCATGTCTGTACACCACTTGCAGGCATGGCTCAAGGAGGCCAGAGGAGGGTGTCCGATGGTTATGAGTCATAATGTGGGTGTTGAAAATTGAACCCCGGTCTTCTGGAAGAGCAGCCAGTGTTGTTAACTGTTGAGTCATCTCTTCAGTCCTTTTGACTTACAGAATTTTTAATGGACTGGCATTAAATCTTGGCATTGCCTAACTTCTGCTGTGTTGATTTTGGCCAAGACCCTTTACCCTTCAGAGCCCCAGTTTTCTTACCAGTGAAAAGATTATGGTCATACCTTCTCCACCTGTGTGGATGGCCCACACAGATGTCCACTTAGGAACAAGTCTTATTGGAGAAATGGCTAGTTATTGCATATTGACTGAGAATGCAGAATAGTACTACCTTAGAGGAAGGAGGAAGCAGATGGCTTTGGATGCTGGCCAGATCCTGCCATTCCTCTACAACAGTTCTCTCTTTGTCAAAGGTGGCTGACTGCGTCTGCTTAATGGCCCTTGACAAACCCCAGGCTGTGCCTATAGACATCCATGTGTGGCAGATTGCCCGGCGTGACTACAGCTGGCACTCTAATACATCTCAGGCTAAGGGTCCAAGCCCCCTGGCCAACAAAGAACTGGGTGAGGAAAGGGGGTGATGCTGGGGCATTGGGCTGAGGTTGGGGAATCTCTGTGGGTGGAGGGCACATGGGTCACTTAATGTAGTTGCTTCACTTCTAACTTAGGAAACTTTTTCCGGAATCTGTGGGGACCTTATGCTGGCTGGGCCCAAGCAGTAAGTATACCTAGCCTAGACCCTAAAGGATTTCCCCTCAGCCCTGCCTGACCCCTGGACTCTTCAGCCACCTGTTCTCATGACTCCTACCACCTCCCCAAGTATTGTCCATTGACCTCAGCATGCCCCTTTACACAGGTGCTGTTCAGTGCTGACCTTTGCCAACCAAACCAGGCTCGGGAGCCAACAGCAAAACGCAGAAAGGGATCTAAGGTGCCAGAAGGCTAGATGGGATGAAATATGTCATTGATATCTTTCCCTTTGTTCTTCTCTCCCCACCAATCTCATGTCAGGAAGGCTTATTACGCCTACCTCAGAGGTCATCACCCCAAATCAAGCAGTCATTTTATACAACAGGGTGGAGGGAGCTATTTGAACAAACAGAACTGTCTTGTTTTGTCTTCCCTTTATTACAAGAAGGAACAATAAAATAGAAACATTTGTATGGAAAATGCAGTGAAGAGTGAGAGGGAAGGGGTGAGGAGGTATGGGGAAAGAAATCCCCAGTTCTAGGCGGGCTGCCCCCAAGCCCTCCCATGGAAGAAACCTTGACTTCCTTGATGTTCAGTCCATGGCCCTAGAGCTTGGGGGTGGCACAGGGGGTAGTTCCGAGCCTGGCTCCACACAGCAGTCTCGGCAGCAACAGCCAGCCACTGGCCCTGTGTGAGAGGAAAGGGCAAAGGTGGCTGTGGAGCAGGCTCCAGCTCCAGCCTTGTGCTTCTTCATGGAGCACCTGTACCAGCCCACAGGACCCTGGTTCTTACCCCCAGCTGTTGGTGTCAGCAGCTCTCCATGGCTAGCTGTCTGTCCCTGCCCCTCCTGGCTGGTGCCCAGCTGCAGCTTCCTCATGTGCCGAACTACAGCCGTGGCATTGAAAGCTTGCTGTGGAAAGAAGAGGCGGGGGGACTGCTGAAAAGGGGCCTCAAGGACTAAGGGTCTGCAGTAGGAGTCTTGCAGTGATTCTGTTATTGCCATTCAGGTGTTACTCAGTGACTCCCCAGCTCCTCCCCAGAAACCTCAGTAAGGCCTTACTAAATTATATTTAGTTATACATATAGTACATATATAAAATGTGTACAGAGGAACATAAAACTAGAATTCATCTTCATATAACAAACATATCGACACAGCTCTGAGTACATTGCATGGTTATTCTTTCATCTAAGCGGCAGCACTTTTGTGTTGTCTTTCTTTTTAGACAGTCTTGCTACGTAGTTGTGCCTCAGCCTCCAAAGTACTGAGTCCTGGGATTATAGGCCTATATCACCACCACACCCAGTTTCATGTGATACTAGTGACCCACCCAACCCAGGGATTCATGTGTGCTAGCAAGCACTGGGCTATGTATACACACACACACACACACACTTTTTGAGATAAGATTTCATGTAGCCCAGGAAGGCTTGTCTTGAATTCCTGATCCTCCTGCCTCGCCCTCAAATGCTGGAATAACATTCATTTCAGAGAAGGAAAGTGAGCTGCAGAAAAGTAATTTACATACTTGTTTTATCATTTTGTATTCCACTTATTCACCTGTGTCCTATGTGCCTTGAGTTAAACATGTCCAAAACTAAAACTGCCCCCTCAAGACTTGTTTCTGCCCCTAGGGTCATTATCACAGTTATGGTACCACTGTCCACTTTGTCCCCAACCACAAGGTTGAGCCAGCCCTTGACATCTCACTCCCTCAGTTTGCCTTCCATCTTTGTTTCTTGAGTCTACCTCCTGCTATCAACCACTCCTGTGTTCCTCTTGTGATTCTAAGTCAAGCCTTTCCATGTGCTGCATCTCTGACCCATCCTGCTGGGCCTCCCAGGCTTCCGTCTTTGCCTTCTCTACATCCTGAAAGCCCTTTCTTCAGGACGAGCTCTGCTGTCAGTCTTTCTGGGATCATCTATAACAGGTGGGTGCTCACTGTAGCAGTCAAGGACCTTAGTGGCCCAACCTCTACCAGCTTCTCCAGCCTGGCCTCTTGACACTCAGTTTGCTTAGTTCCTTCAGCCCCTCTAGTCCAGCAGGCTTAAAACGTGGCCACACTCTCTTACCCTTACCTCTTTGCACACATGTTCCCTCTGCCTCAGGCATATTCTCTGTGCCTGGTTATTAGTCAACTGACAGGCCTGTGGACACCTTTCTGATTCTTCTTGGGTCCCATACGCTGTATCATGAATCCTTGAGAGTAACTGTCCCTCTAGAGATGGAGCTCAAGGACCCACTCCAGACTAGGGGTCAAAGGGGCCTTTGTTGAGTAAACAAAGGAGATTCTTTGGAAAACCTCCCTGAGCAGGTCCTGAACGCACTTGTTACTGTGTGCATCCTGGGGAGGACCCAGGATTAGGCGTGTATGCTGACCTTCCACTTGCTCTTGGCAAAGTTCTTCTTGATCTGCTCGCTCACTGACTGGTGGATATTCTTATCCAGAGCTGTGTCTCCTGCAATCCTAGAATGGGGGAATATGCAGTTTCTAGTGAGGCTGGGGGCAAGCCTAGGCCTCCAGGTCCCATCCTAACTCATACTTTAGAGTGGAAGCTCTCACCATGGGTGCTGCAAGGCCTGCTCACAGGTGAACCTCTTCTCCGGATCTTTCTCCATCAAGTGCCGTATGAAATCTTTCGCTGAAGCCCCAAGACAAAAGCAAAGATACAGCATGACCATGCCTGTGGACACCCCCAAGACAGTGCTCATTCCCTCACATCTCACCTGCAACAAGGCAAGACAAAGGGCCCGTCTGCTTATGCTCCACCCCACACCCCAGCCTGTTAGCCCCCTCCTTTCTTGAGAACATATTTACAAAAGAATCCACTCAGTGTGCTCACACTAGTGTGTAAGCCACTGTGCAGCCATCACAAGCTGGTTTCTACTTGGGACATGGAATGGGAGATGGAAATATTTATGTTCTTTAAGCCTCAGGGAATAAGTAAGCCTTACAGGAGGTATTTTTGTAAATACTATGTTTGAAGACTGAATGAATGCCTACAGATCTCTCAGATTAAGAGCCAAGCAGAAGGAACCCAAGGTAAGACATATGACATCAGCTTCTAGTTTGGGACAGAGGCAGACAGTGGGGAGACCCTTGGAGCAGATGAAGAAGGCCCCTGAGGTAGGGCCCAGACAAAGAAGGCAAAGACCCAAATACCAGAGTCAGAGATGTCGTCCCAATAAGGAGAGTCAAACTCATACTCGGCCTTCAAAATCTGTTCGAAGAGTTTGGCATCATTTTCATCATAGAAGGGTGGGTAACCACAGAGCCTAGGCAGAGAGAAAACACATGTCAGCTTTAAGAATACTTGTTGGCTTAGAGACAGAGCTTTGGGGCAGTGCCAAGAGTCAGATGGGACCCACAGGAAGTTTCCTTCTGTCCTTTGAACATGCTGTCATTAGGATCTTTGTGTTTGATCTTCCCACACCTAAAGTGGCTGGCTCCTTTACTTCAAGTCCCCTCAGATGTTACCTCCATGAAGAGCCCTTGACTTTCTGAATCAACATCTATCCCCATCTCCCTACTCCTGCCTGATTTTCTTCATAGTGATTTTGCCAGGTGACACTATTTTATAGATTTATTTACTCATTGATTCTTTCTACATGTCAACCCTTAAGGGGAGGCACTTGCTTTGGTTTGTTTTCTGCTAAATCAGTGCTCCTACAGTGCTGAAAACATGGTATCTCTTAAATGAAGCCTGCTAGGTTTTTTTTGCTTGTTTGGTTTTGTGTATGTGTATTTTGCCTACATGTAAGTCTATACACCATGTGTGGCAGTACCCACAAAGACCAAAAGAAGGCATCAGATCCTCTGGAACTGTAGTTACAGGTGCATGTGAACCACTATGTGGGTGCTGGGAATTGAACCTGGGTCCTCTGGAAAAGCAGCAATTGCTCTTAACCTCCAGACCCCTGCCTGTTAGTATTTATCTGGTAAATATAATGTATAGAAGGAGGGAGAAAAAGCAGAGAGGACAACTCTAGCCACAGGCCACCTTAACCATGCCCCCACTTACAGGATATAGGCAATGACCCCTATGGACCAGCAGTCCACGGCCTTGCTGTAGGGCTTCTGGGCCAGGACCTCCGGGGCTGTAGAGGGAAGGGGACATGGCAATAACAAATGTTTGCCCTGTAGTTCCTGGTTCCTTCCTTATCCCCAGCCCCAACCTAGGACCCTTCTCACCCACATATCCTGGAGTCCCACAGGCTGTGGAGAGCACACTGCCTGAGTCCTCCATCTTGGAGAGGCCAAAGTCGGAGATCATGATTTTGGAGTCTTCATCCAGACTGTAGTACAGCAAGTTCTCTGGCTTAGAGGATAGGAAAGAGGGAAAGGGGCAGTCAGAAGTAGCCTGAGGCTAGCAGCACTTAACACTTCTCCAAAATCCATTGTGGCTAGCTAGCTAAATCCATTACAAACTAGATAGCATGCACCTCCTACACGAGGAAGGTGTAAGCAGGAAAAGCAAGAGTTCAGTGTGTTCTCAGCTACATACTGAGCTCAAAGCCAGCCTGACATACACAAGACGTGTCTCAAAAACGAGTGACAAAAGCTTAAATCCTAATTAGCCATTTCAGTCATTGGGGCAGAAAACAGTCTAAGGCTTGCCTTGACAACAGTAAGTTAAGGCTAGCCTGGGCAATTTAGAACCTGTCTCAGAATAAAAAAAGAAAGAGTAATGGGCTGTGTAGAAGGGGGACTAACTGAGGAAGAAAGGGAAAGAGGGGACATGGGAAAGGAACACAGTATAATGACACCTGTGTATGAAGATGTGATGAAACCCATTACTTTGTATGTTAACCTAAAACACAGATAACAATGGTATAGACGAAAGGCTTGGTGGGGCCACTTGGGAGTGAGGGTAGTACTAGCATTATACATAAGTCTCTAGGTAAATAAGCAGTACACACAGACACACATCCCTGTCCTGCACAAGGAAATTCTCTAGACTAAGTTCTAGAAAAGACAGGGCCAAGGGGGTGTGGGAAGGATTTTCATAGACCTCAGAAGCCTTATAGAAATCCCCAGTACCACAAAAAAATTTTATATCTCCTATGCCAGATCTTGGGTAAGTACCTGACTAATTTCAACCCTATCACATAGGCAGCCTGGCCAGTCTCAACAAGCTCACTTTACAGATGAGGAAACCGATGCCTTTTGAGGCAGTAATTGACCTAAGAGCCAGTTCAGGGCATGGCAAGGCTACACGTGTACATCTGTTGTATCCCAGAGCCCTTCCATCCTGGACTGAAGAATTTTGTTGTTTTAGTTTTCTGAGATAAGATGTCTCTGTGTGGCCCTGTTTGTCTTGGAACTCTGTAGACCAGGCTAGCCTCAAACTCAGGTCCGCCTGCCTTTGCCTTTGCTGAGATTAAAGGGTGTGCACAGCTTAGACTTTAGTGGTTTTCTTTCTTTCTTTTTTTTTTTTTTTTCCAGTTTTTTGAGACAGGATGTCTCTATGTAGCCCTG